ACACCAGAGCAGATTAGATAATATCATGATGAAAAATATAATATGAATAACGTATAGTAATTATTGTTGTACGGGGGACCTGCACAAACTTGCAAATTTACTAATTATTTTGTAAGCCACTATGGAAATTGCATTCAATCATGGGTATAGTGAGTTAACACTAATATACATAGAATGAATGCATCAAATATTAAATTTAACTTATTAACTTACAGGGGAAAAAAGGTGAAGTGTCTTTATAAGTCTTTTATTATACTTTATTAAAGTTTATTCGCAATCGTTATACAGATAAATTAATTGTGATTCATAAAAGAAAAATCACATCGAAATTTAAAGAAGTGCATAAAAGGCACAAATACAGCCTAGAAATGACACATGAAATGGTTATGAAAGCAACAGAAGTAGATTGGGGCATTGTGTCCAAAAAATATAGAGATCTACACAGTGAACAAACTTAAAATTTCCTGTAGTTGCCAAGTACAATAACCAGAGTGTCTTTTTTGTATTCACTGTAATACATGCTCTTTTAAAGATAGTGCAATAAAGTAAAATATGTGGGAACATATCCACTTAATTTGCCAATTTCAACTTTAAATAAAAAATGAAGAAAATAATGAAACGGCAACACATATCTTAACCTTGAATAAGGAGCTGAATAATGTGACTAACACAGACGATGAATTATTCATTCAGGAACTAAATGATGAACGTGACAACGAAACTTCCAATATTTTATCTCAATTAAATAACTCGGCCATTACAAACATTGGAATTGGAAAAAGGGAAACTTTAAGAGTCGTTCACTAAAATGTTAAATTAAATATCTTCTGTTGAAGAATTAAATGTATTGAAAACACTCTTTTACCAACAATATAAACATTAACAGCAATAAGGAAAAATTCAAAGAAAAACTTCTTAGATATCACCAATAAAAAAAATCTCACCACAACGCAGTTTATACTCAACCAAGAAAACGAGGAAATTAAAAAAAAAGTATTAGAAATACCGAGTAGAACAGAGAAAAATCATTAATATTCAAAAACAATACTGCTTAATGATTCTCATCCATTTATATTATATTATATTACACTGAGTCAAACTGGTAAAATCACATATTATTTTATCCATACAATATAATTAAAATATGATCTAACGAGTAATTGATGAAGTCTGTTATCAAATTGTATTAATGATAAAAATCGGCCATTTTGATTCCATTCGGTTCTCTGTCCCTAGACACTTGTGTTTTTGCACATATTACATACCACAGAAAATAAAGGATCTTGTTCAACAAATTGATTTACTTTTAAAGACAAATTAAAAGTTCTTATGACATTGGAACTCAATATTCACAGCTAACTAAACTTAATGAACCAATAAACAATAGCAATAAGTGTATAACTATGGCTCGGAAATTGCGCATTTGATATTCTATATACTCCTACTTGTTCAGTTACAATTTGTATACGCTAATACTATTAACTAATAATTATTATAAAACGTTAATTTTGAAATTTTATTTAAATGTATATTTTCTAATAAAATTACTATAAAGAAAACAATCATATGTTTGGATACATCATTCACTCTCTGAAGGCATGATTTTGAAATACTGTCTCCGAATTACACTTGTTGAATTAATAAATGTCCTTTACATCTTGTGCATATAAAAATTCTGAATCTGCCAATTTCCACCTGTTGAATAAATAGTAAAACAATAAACCTGCACTCCAATTAATGAATTCTAAATTTTAATACATTATTTATACTTGCTTACTGGAGTAAGGTTGATATCTGGCTTGTCACTAGAAATGTCAGGGTTTAAGTTTGACAAATCTTTTTGAAATTAATGTTGTTCAATCGTATAATCACATTTTAAGCAATTTACTTTGTAGGCATTTCTGTGAAGTTCAATAATATTTTTACTTCCAGCTTTAACGTGTTAGCTCAAGTATGCTCAAGCCACATACCTCCTCTTGAACTTCATCTTTTGAAAAATAAACAATAAATAAAATAATAAAATAGTTTTATCAGTATGTCATAAGTACAGGGCTTAATGATCGAAGTAAAGGGATGAATGAAGTAAATGTTTAAGTATAATTGTGCTATTAAATGTAACAAATAGGTATATTTTCACTGAATAATTTTTAAAGTAGAGTTGTAAATGCAGAGGTTAATTAAAATCAAATCAAATAACACTAATGAAAAATTGTATTTCGGCACTTAGAGTATTATATTTTAAAGCTCAAAAATGCTGAATATGCAGCATGCATTCTTAAAAAATGTTTAAGTAAATCTTCCAGGAAGGTAGGTATCTCTATTTACAGATTTAGTACTAAATAAAAGAATATGTTCTATAAAATAATGGAAAATTATTGAAAATGCAAGAAAAACTTTTTGTTTTGATATAAATGGATATGTAGCTTACTTAACATTAAACCTAATAAACAAAAAATATGCAATAAATTGCAACAATCTTTGTTAAATATTTATTAAAAATAAATAATAATGTTCATTTATGAGATGCTGTACCTAATTAAATTTCTATATGATAGAGTCATTATATGATAATATTAAACAATTGTTTTTATGAACAAATTGGTTGATAGGAGGGACCTATAATATATTATATTATAACATACTTAATAGAGTGTAGTTATTCAGTTTTACCTGGCTCAATTGAATCAATGTCATAGTTGACTAATGGTTTTACTGATGATCATATTTTAAGTACCTAACTTCTCTAATTCTTCATCCCAATCACATTCTTTGTGATCACTTCCACTCTTTGTATTGTAGTTTTCCTTGTATTTATAAACGTGTTTGTCACCTTTCCTCTTCGTTTCCATTCGGACAAATTCCAATATCTATATGAAAAAGTAAGGTTACCATCAAATTTAGCTTAAGATAATTTTATTTATCGGTTATCACTTGTCCATTCCTGAACCGTTTGAAATCTAAGGCAGAGATGTTTTCTTCATGAAAAATTGGTAGCATATCTTTGACTTCCTGTCTTAACCATTGTATTGTCTTGTGTGACATGGGTTTATTAGAAGGAACATTATTATATGACCTTTGACGATGTTATGAAAACAATAGAAAATGTTATGGAAAACTTCATTACTTGGCTAATAAATTAAGAGCAACTCAAATAATATATCTAAATAATAAAATATGAATGATAAATCAGTTATCAAGAAACAAACAATGAAACAAAAACTGATAAGTGATAACAAATATTTAAAAGATTAAGCCGCGTTTATATATTCCATGGCTAAATACGTATTTATTAGCCATGATTATATTCATTCCATAAACTGTTATAAAACGATTTTTAAATTCGAAAACTAGTGCACGGCCGTGTACGTAAATAGTGCGAGAGAGTATATGACACTGTGGTCTGTGATTGCAAATTGTTATCGATTTCTGAAACTGTTATAGACTTATCGTTACTCGAAAAATACTATTTAAAATAGTAATGAAAATAACAGTTTATTGTTTACTACTGATATTGTTATTGGGATTAAGCTCAAAAAGCTGCATTCGGCCATGATACAGCAATTATTGTTATTTTTCGATATAGATTTTCTAGTGTACATTTAGCTACAAGCTTTGCTGGAGTCATTTGAGAAACGTATTTCATTACGATAACAGTTAACAGTGCTATGTACTGACCATAAACATAATATAATACTTGCGATAGGATAGGAAAGCGTTGTCGAAATATGCTATGTAAAGACGATAAGTGTCAATAGCCTCGGTGAAAGACAAGGTTAGGCCAACAACAAAATAGTTGATGGTAGTTCTGAGACTAGGACAACGGAAATTGCGTTGCGAAGTAGGTACGTACGAATAGAAAAGACTAATCATAAACGATAGGTAGGTGAAAAGGAACCCCTTTAAGACTACGGTTGTATGACAATTTCATCAAAAGCAGTTATCTATTGATCAGTGGGAGACAATATTGTAATTGCTATTTTATTAAAATTTACTGTTATTATGTTAGAAACTGAGCACCTTAATATCGATGACAGAGCTACACAGGATACCACAATACAACCATGTACGAGCTTGGGAAGATGGCATTTCATGGATTATTTAGTATGTATATAAGAATGATACATCATACACGTTATTTACATATATGTAGTCACTGACATCCGTCGACTTTGAGTAATAACAATAGTATAGGAAATCGTAAGCTTAAATTAAAGACGACGTCTAGGAATAGAATACATCTGATTGTACAGATGTTATCATAACAAGATGACTCAGGTTACCTTAAATATGAAAGTCATAGACATATCCAGGGAGTCTGAGACCAGAGACGACAAGAGTATGTACTTGATCAAAGATCAGAACTGGACGTTTGTTATTAATAAAAATACTCCAGTGTAACATCAATTTGTATATCTTAATTTAACCTCTAATTAAATTTGAGTTCTAAAGGCGGGCAAGTTACAACAGCCTATATAATAGAGACCCAGGCAACCGATATTCAGACTTGAACTTTCAAAGTTATATGCACCAGCAGACTCTCTGAATTCCAACTACACCAGAATTATTCAAACAGTTTTACCAGTTAATCATAATTTATTAAGATTATAATATTTGATTTATTTTTAAGAATAGTATGATAAAATATCATAGGTGTACATTAATATTTGATGTGCTATATGATACATTGTATGTTTTGCAGTACCTTATTTACCAAGATGAGTTATTCATTAATTAAAATTAAATTGTATTGATTTATATACTTGGGAAATAAAAATTCAATTTATGTAAATCCAATTCACCAAACAACACTCCGGAAAAATGAAAAAGATCGTTATGAATTTACTGGTACACAATTGATTGGAAAAATAATTTAAAAAAATAAAACTGAAGAAATTAATTCTATTATACCAATAATTTTAAAGGTTTGATGTCTTTTATGGTTATTATTAATTTAATTTTGATTGGTTTTAAATGTTGTTGTTTAAATTAAGATAAAACGGGAAAAGAAACTCGAAAATTATGAGTATTTAATGTATCTTCTGGCTGTATGTGCAGAATTTCAAAATGATCAATATCGACAGTTGTCAACGGATGCTTATGCAGCTATTGGAATTATCTGTACGGATGGATTCAAATCATTGATGTTCTTTAAATTTTGTAACGGTGCTGCTAAAATTCTTCACAGACTAGGTAATTTTGTTTAGTATAATTAACAAATGTATAATATTAATTGTGGATTTGATCTAGTATATATAACTGAAGAATCTTTGGGTTATGGAAGTGGCGCTCGAAGAGCATTTGGAAAATGGTAGAGAAATCGTCTTGAGACAGTTGAACCTATAATAAAACAAAAAAAAAATGTCATGGTTTAAGTCACAAAAAAATAATGGATACAATTTATCTGGTATCGAAGGACCTAAGTAATTTATTAGCTATATTGTCTATACTTCCATAGTTAAATTATTTATATATTTAAATGTATAATAGGTCATAAAATGTATATTGTGTATATTGTGTATATACAAAAGAAGAATTTGGACCAAGAATGTGGAAAGTATGTCAGCAAAGAGGTTAAATCATCAAAGAAATTTACCACTATATTAAAAACTAGTGCATCATATGGATAATGCAAAAGATAGTAAATTGTTAAGAGAAATAAAATGGAGTATATTGGGAGAACACTTGAAATTGATAATTCTAAAAATGTTACAAAGTACAAAAGTTAGTTATACTTGGGTTCAATGCACATGTTAAAAAAAATGTCTAACATACATTTGTTTTAGGTTTTAATTTCTTTTGTTCAGCATTTACCACTGAGAATATTGTTAGAGAATACTTACTGCTTTCATAGACATGTCTTATATAGAAATTTATTGGGTAAATAAGGCTTAATGGAATTTATATTGCTCTTCAAAGATCATATAGCAGTAAATGAATCTGGAATACATCCAATAAAAATGCAATGTCCATTGAACTTGTATACCTAATTCAAAAGGATTAAAAATGTTATATATTGAACATAAATTAATAACATTAAAACACATGATTGTTTATTTTAGTGTTATTACGAGTATAAAAAAAAAAAATGATCAAATGAGGTTGAACAACAGTAGGTTTTGATAAACCAATTTAGATATTGAAGTATGAAAACTAAATAAATTATTGTTTCAGGTGTTCTGATAATCTTCAGCTAGGAATGGAAGATCCTGAATATAAGCTTAAAAAGCATGTTCAACCTTTCTATAATAATCATCAATTTTTTATGAAGCCAATTCCAACTCCTCCTGTAGAAGAACTACAACAATTTTTATCAATTGATTTGGTAGAAAAAAAAATAGAAAGTATGTATATTAATTTAACCTCAATTATTAAAAAAATATAGAATTGTTAAAACATTCATTCATTTTTTTAGAACTTTAAACCATCAGGTTGTAAGTTATTAATAGCTTATAACAATTGACCATGTATGGAGGTAGTTACTTGTCGCTATATGCATGTGAAATTTGTCAAAGTCCTTGATGCTATTGTGTTGTTAATACAGTCAATAGTTTACCAGGAGCAATCAAACAATCAACAATATGTGCATTATTGGATCCAGTAAATCAATTAAAATTTTTTTAAATTAAGTATCAACTACAATTGATAAAAAAATATTTTTAAGAATACTTATTCAAAAAGGTGAATAGTATATTTATTTTAAAAAAATTATTCAACACTGAACAATAAAAACATTTTTCAGCCCCTCAAATATAGTAAAATGGTTTGAAGTTTCAAACCATTAAGTACCATCAGTTGGTTTAAAACACAGAACAAAGTTGTTGATGTGTTTTTGTGTCTAGGAACTTCTAAAATGAATTTTAAGAAGGATAAGAAAAACAAAGGCAAACTATGAAGCAATTTCAAATTCAAAAATTAAGTATGTTTTTATATAATTTGTTAATTATTCGTTTAACTACTCGTTTGCTTAATAATTCCTTTGAGCATAGCTTGAATACCAGATTGTCAAGCCTAAGGAGATCATAGCACATTGCTTAAATACCCTTATAAGATCACCTAAATACTTACATAACAATATGTTGCACACTTTAATAATGATTCACAATTTCACAATTTCAACTACATATTTGTTATAAATATAGGATTAAGATATCTTTACTATTCATACTAAAATCCAGAAGAAAAATTTAAAGGGGTAAGAGTAGTATTCCACAGTAATTTTTCATAAGACATTAATACCCAATCAACGTAATATTAGTCGGATTAAACATTCGTCAAATAATTTTACATTTTTAATTTTATTTCTATAAAAGGTTAACTGATTGTAAAAACTTTAAATAGCCATAGTATTTGTTCATAATTGAGACTTGTACCTGCCACCTGAATGACTGCACGACTACGTGGACTGTACTACTACAAAGTACTAATTAGGATAATATGTCGAGTGTCATTGTAATGGGTATTATAAAATATGGTTCGATTACACAACCTGTACATTGTAGACTGTATTATTACAACCATACCAGCAAGATGTGTAATTTTTAAAGTTAAAATCAAGAAACACTAATCTTAAGTGTGGTGTGTTACAAACTCCCTATTATCGAAAATATGCAATCTCACAAAGTACAAATCTTTAAAAAAAAATCATAACTTTGAATTTGTATACGCATTTTAACACACTATGATAAAAACATAATATATATTTATAATACTCATTTTCTCGTATTAATACATTAGGAGGATTTTACGATATATCTTATGGAGGGTTACCACTTATCAGTAATACGCAAACATTGAAGAGCAAGATACTCAAAAATCAGTATCACGGTACTAGATACTTAGATTTGGAGTAACGAGATACTATATACTCGATACTCGATACTTCAAATAAAATTTATCACAGGTTTTTTAAAAATTGTATTTATACCCAATTAGGTGTATATTATATATTAATTAGTTAATATAGACCACATGTTTAATAACAATAATAACTCATAATAATATTCTACTACACAATTAATTATTATTCATGTACATAATTATTTGGTAATCATAAACTACTTAGACAATAAATACGTATCTACAGTATCTATTAATCCTATCGTGTCCATCACATACTTTATCGCCGCGAAAGATAGACTATTCAATATACATGCACGGATGTACGATGTACTATATCGTACACATTACGGATATCTAATATAGCCATATAGGTACCTACAGTAAAGACGTATAGTCGAGTTAAAAATGCATATGTGGTGTGTCAAAATCCACAGATATAACTAATATGGCTAATGGGTTAAAAAATAATTTTCTAAAAGTTGTATGGCGTAGGCTACAGCTTTCGAAAAATCACCTGTAACTACGTATTTGTATTTGTATTAGCAAAATAAATTTAATTATGATAGTAAAAATTAGAATTGTTAATAATTTGAAATTAATTAACACTGCAATTACATAATGGTATACATACATTTAAATTTGCCTCTAATTTTACACATATCATACTAAAACATTGTCGAACAATCGTGGTTGGTATGTACTAGTACTATTACTAGGTAAGCGAGTGAAAATAATTTTAAACAATTAATTTTTCAAAGTATCTCATTAATGTATCAAGTATGTTTCGATAAAATTATTTTATGAAATACTCGATACCTACATAGACTGAAAATGTGTTGAGGTACAAGATAGGTACTCGATACTCCATACAATAGTATCGAAGATATTGCCAACCCTCTACATAATCAACCATAGTATATCTACATATATTCACTATATATAGTGATTTTTGATGAGACCTATATTGTCTAAAAATTGTTCGTAAGAAATCCATTTTTCCATACTATATTACTATGTATCGTAATGTTTATAATCTATATCAATTATTCAATATGTTATCATTTATATCTAAAAAAATTATACGACCACTAACATTTTTTTAGAATTTTTTTTAATTTATTAATTCATATTTCAAAAACATAAAATTGATGGTACTTAACCAAAGTAATAGTTTTACTAAAAAAAAACAAGGGGTGCTAAAGTCCCTTTGCACCCCCTTAGTTTCGCTAATGGTTATAATAATAGTTAAATAAAAAATCGAGTGGACTGTGGACGATCGTGTTTGCGTGTATGCCAATTTTTTTAGTCCTTTAGTTAACAATAATCATAATAATTTATTGAAAATAAAAATAAATATATGTCATTATGTTTTATAATATTAATGTTAATAATATACAATCCGATAGCTTTTCACCGGGCCTTTAAGTAGCTGAAAAGAGTTGAAATTTCCTATAAGCCTTTGTTCGTATTTAATTATGTAGGTATGAGAACTTACTACTCACCTGCCTATATAGGTATATTTATAAACGACTATGCAGTATGCATACTTAGGCAATGTAATGCACTATGCACTATGATGCATTTTCAGTGGCGCAATTAGGTAACTCAATGTCACTTTAAATTAATTAATTGCTTGTATCGTAATTTTATTACTATAGTTATTTGTAAGGGAGCCATTTAAATTGTTTTAAAAATCTTGGATCAATATGGATCAAAATAGGTTGAGAACCCCTGCACCATGTTATATTATATTATTACTCACATATACTACCACTATGATACCTATAATATTAATACACGCTCTTAACGACCTTGAACAAAAATCTTACACAGTTTAAGGAGAAGGGTCGACAAAAAAATGTATACATATATAATGTAATAATCATATTGGTAGGTTACCGTGTTCAAAACTCAAACTGTAGCGAAAATATTCGATGAACAGAGTCGGCGGCGGCCGATGACCTTCGTCCCACCTGCTGGCACCGACGGCGAAACACCATAACAATGGCACATGCAGCTGTAAGCAGTACGCACACCCTCACATGTAAGGAATGCGGCACGCAAGTGTCTCTTTCCTCACTCCTAGGTAGTCGGACGATGGGCAACCGGTTTTAAGGGAGGACCATCAGATTGTAGATACTCTACACCGCCTCATTTCTTCAATGATGCGATTATTCAAAATCCTACTTTTGAAATTTATAAGCATTTCAAAACACAATGTTTTTACATACATCTACCAAAATATAATTTCTACCGCCATTAATTATTATTCGCAATGCATTTATCATTGTGGTTCTTAAAACTCAAATTAATCATTAATATGCATAATTATATTATATAGTATATACATTGGACATATTTTGTACAGATTATTTTTGTCCATAAAATCCGAATGTAGGTACGAGCCTATACAATAAATATTTTTTTCGAGGTTTCCTACACTTGTACATAGCAGGAACCCCCACAGTCATATACTCGTATAAATGTATAGGCTTCGTTATTTTTTTCCTTTCTGCAACAAGTAACAACTGTTTTCATATATTTTATTGTTCGATTCTACGTTGGGTCGGGACACACACTCGCACGCGCAGCATCCAAGACGGTTTGAATGCATTAACGATACACCCTCCACCGCCACCCTTCTCTGACGATAAGATCTCGACCAGTACATAATGATCACGAACCGTACTAGCCATTGGGCCACGTTTCACCCTTCGAATGTTCGGTACTGAAGCGTCACATGTCATAAATCAGTATATACTAGGTACATATATACCTATTATATATGTTGACAATTTAATAGTACCTACACACGTCCGGAGCGTCGTAGTGAGCAGGACTGGATGGTAGTGTGGTATGGAAGGGGGGGGGGGTTGTGATGCCCCGTCATCGTAAAGAAAGTCAGCATTTTGGGAGCTGTCATTTTTATAATAAAATTAACTATTTGCATTATTTACAAATTAAAATTAACCCGGAATCGAAACTTAATATTTTGTTATAAATTCTAATCATCTGCAGCTCTCGATCATAGGGTGAGCCTTAAAGAAGAACACATCCGTATAAATATGTAGTCCACGATTTGTTGTAGTATCAACATAAAACATTTTAGATGTTTTAATTTTACAATGTATAAAGAGACTAGAGAAATTAAAACCCTGGACATTTGACAATATTATGACAATTTTAAATTTAAAAATATTTATTCGTATGATTATTGTATTTCAATAAATATTAAATTGATAATAACAATAATAATAATATTTGAAATTGATAATACCACAAATACGTATTTACGCATTACGCCCTATTAAATCACGTCAACTGGTTTGTGGGTGTGCACAATATTGCACATGCGCAAACAGCGGAACAAAATATGGGGTGAAGTCACCGTTTACCGCGGGCAAAGGCAGTAGTTCGTGTAAAGTATATGATTCGTATGGTACCTTACAATTTACATATGTGACATGTGACTATAACTATGACCATGTTATACAAGTGAACAGTTTTTTAAAATTAAATTCAAACATATTAATGAATTGTAAGCTATTAACGCAATATTAATGACAATTTCAAGGTTATTTTTTCATAGATGGCGTTGAATGTTGTGTACCACATGTACTGGAAAACATTAGTTGTCATTGATATAACAAAGTCCATTTCGCCATTTTATCTTAGTAAATAGATTATAAACACTGTCCACAACTAATCTAACATAGTCATTAGCCACTTGTTGCTATAGTGTATAAGTATAGTCTATCTTTTATTCTTTTGGTCATTATTATATTTTACTTCAAGTTATAATGCTTATTATACTATTAATTAATACATTTTTATCATTTTTAAGTACTATCATATAATATATTATAAATTTGTTGTAATACAGTAACTCTCAAACTTAGATTATTTAATTTAATTTTTTGATTCTGAATTCTAATTGTAAAAATTGCTCAAGTCATGGCTTCATCAGATCCAACAGACCTCAATAAAATGTGGGAACTTTCACTATACGAAAGGCATAGAGCTCCTCAAGTAGCTGTTACTGACAACACCGAAGTTGAAGTATCGCCAAGAAGTCTACAGAATGAACTAATGTGTCCAATATGTTTGGAAGTTTTGAAAAAAACAATGACTGCTAAAGAATGTCTCCATAGGTAATTATAATACATATTATATTTTAATTTATGAAATGAGTATTTTAAGTAATAAAATAATACAATTGTTTTTTAGATTCTGTTCAGACTGTATTGTGACTGCTCTTCGTTCAGGGAATAAAGAATGCCCCACTTGTCGTAAGAAACTAGTATCTAAACGGTCACTACGCCGTGATCCAAATTTTGATCTTATCATATCTAAGATATATCCTAACCTTGATGAATACGAAGCACAGCAAACAAAAGTATTGGAAACGTTAAATAAGAGTCAAAGTCAGGCCAATTTAGTTCAGTCAATAAACGAAGGTATTAAATTACAAACTCAAAATCGACAACAACGAATCAAAAAGAACCAACGAGAAAAACTAAATGAAAGTAGCTCATCAATTACTTCAAAACCTTCAAATAGTTCAGGACAAGACAATGTAACAAGAACAATGGTACAAACAAAAGTGGCAAAAAAGATGAAATCTGTTATGATCTCAGAAAAAGAAGGACCTGCTTCAACTGTTGACACTTCGGATACAGCAGAATGTATTGGTGCATCAAACGGTGTGCCAGTAGATGAAATAGAACTAGTATTAAAACCTCATCCTACAATAATGGAGAGTGAAAATCCATTTATCACAGTTTTGAAAGAAAACTCTGTACGTTACATAAAAACTACAGCTAATGCAACAGGTAATCCTTTTAAATTAATTTACTTTATCACATTTAAACAGTACAGAATGAAAATATGTCCTTTTAAATTCTATATACAATTCTTTTGTTACTGTTTAAATGTTTTTTATTCTTGCTTTTTTTTACATATAACTTAACCATTAAGAAGCATTTCTACAATGAATAACTAACATATTATAACTTGAAGAATATCATTATAGAATTGTATGTGTATCAATCAAGTGCTATGTACACAGTCTAAATCAGAGGCTTTTAAACTGTGGTCTGCGGTCCCTTGGGGGATCCTCGTCCAGTGTTAGATAAATTACTTTTGAAAAGTCACAAAATTACGTTACTTGTTCCATTAAATATTTGTATTTGAATTACATTTGTGTCACCTGATATTATTTTTATAACGTCATATTACTTTTTCATTTAAAAAGTAGGGCGTTTCTATAGTGTTACTTTTTCAAAAATTAATTACAAAATCATTCCATAACGACTAATAAGTAATTGACATACTATTAATTATTATTTTTTTATTTATATAAATTAGCCGGACAGGCCCTTATGAGCATTATAAGATACTACACATACATACATAAGTAATCAAAACAATATAAAAAATTACATAAATTGTATAACAGTTTATATATACTATTGATAATGTACGTATATTTTTAATAACTTAATGTTATACACGAGTAAAATGTATAATTAATTCCTGGGATCTTTAATAATATCATTAATAGTTATTTATTATTTAAAACTTCCAGAATTGTAAATAACTAGTATTGATTTTTAATTTTTCTTGAACATCTCTGCCTCTTGTTTTTGTCGTACCTTATACGTTTGTGACATATTTCAATAATGTGTGAAATAACGCATTACTTCATAAAAATTACTTTTAATAAGTAATTTCGTTACAATTGTGTTAACTTAAATATAATAGAATAAAATATTACTACAGCATTACTGCAGAAGTAATTTTGTTGTAGTAATATGCACTGCCCAACTATATTAGCTACACTTTTGTAAAAAAAATGGTATTGAAAAGAATATTGGTTGGGGGCCCACAATTTCTAAAAGTATTCCATCAATTGTTCACCAAACATTTAAGAACAGCTGGTCTAAAGTGTAAAACTGGGTTTTTATGAGTGTCTACGGATTAATACTTCTTATGTGTAGTGCAGGACCAATAAATAAAAAAATAAAAAAATAAAAAATAGTATTTTAATAATATTTTAAATCTTATATTATTCATAAGTGGTTGTTGGTTTGAATTTTAAATGTGTAGAATTAAATCTTGAATAATATAACCAAAAATTCTAAGTGTAATTAAGTAGCAAATTTTCAAAACAATCATTACATACACATAATTTTTTTTTTAGTTGATCATTTGAGTAAGTACTTAGCTATGCGATTGGCGGTAGACCTTGGTGCTGAGCTTCCAGAACGACCTCTTGATTTTTTGATGTATGTTGTACCCACCGCAGATCAATTTCTTCAAGTCAAAGGCAATCAAACACTTCGAAACATACAGGATAAGTTTTGGAAGGTAAACAAACCTCTGGAAATGTTTTACTCTTTCGCGTAAAGTATTTATTTATTAATGATTTCTTAAGTTTTAAGCATACTCAATAATGTATTATATTAAAATATAAATATAAGTATATATTTAGCCAAGGTTTTAAGTATTTAATACATTTTTATTTGTTGACAAATATTAATAAAAATAGGCACCTTGCATAATGTAATTTACTTGGTACTTACATCACTCTTTTCAATATGTTTAATAATTTTAGTATGGTAGGTTATACTTTTATAGTATAAATATAAAAACATTATTTAAAAATAACTAATTAATAATTTAAAAGAATAATATTTCTACTATTTTATACCATAAATGAAAATTTGAATTGGTTTTTTTATTGTTTGTAATTTTTTTTCTGTCAAATATTATTATGTATTTTAAATTCATAGTGAAGATTTTTATAATTATTATTTATTACTTACCATATTATTTGTATTAGGATGTAACAATTAATTAAGAAATTGTAAGAGATATGAGTTAAAATGAATTATTAACAAAATAAGTACAATCATTTACACAGTAATTGACAATATTATATAGGTAATTGTGGTGTAATATTTTGTATTTTTGATTTGAAAACAACCAATAGCTATTTTATTAAACTGTACTGGTTTACATAAATGCATGTTATGCATAGACCCTAATTATACTTGATTAAATTAATAAGCTATGGATTTAGCAAACAAATTTATTTTTGATGTCATAAAAAAATGTATTATTGGTTTCATTAGTTTCTTATACTAGTTTTAAGTAAATAAAATGTTTTCATTTTCTTTTTAAACAAATATCAATACAATTCATAATACCTAACATAATGTAATTTACTTAGAAATTATATCACTTTCTAATAAGTTCTTTAATTTTAGTCATATAGTTTATAGTATAAATATATAAACATTATTTAAAAATAATCGATCAAGTTATTAAAAAAAAGATTAAATTTGTATTAAACATTTATTTTTAATTGATAATGAATGTTTGTATCATTATAACTCACTTTATAATATTTTGTATTACGGTATAACAATTAACTAATAAAAAGTAAGATATATGTTTCTAACTAGTAGTATTATATTCCTCAACCTTACCAATTAGCACCAACAATATTATATAGTAGTAGGCTAGTGGTAGCCTATCAGTGATGGATTATGATTAGATTGAAAATAAGACATTTTAAGTTCTAAAATTCAACTATTTGAAAATGTAATACAATAAGTATTTATTTTTGATATACGATTTGCTTTTTTATGTTGTAAAAGTAATTTGTGATCTTATTAAATTATAAATATTTCGAAGTTAACTTTATTTATTAGAATGGACATATAAGTGGTTATAACTTATACCTAGAGACCAGAGTTGCATACATTTTAATATTCATACTGAGTGTATACACAATTATGAGGGTTCAAAATGGGGGCGTTTCAAATCAAGCCGACTTCATTGATAAAATTTAATTTTGCATATTGATGTCTGCGTGACGGTTTAAGAATTATTTTGTTATTAAAGTATATAATGAGTACATTTTATACACTTTTAATAAAAAATAACTTTTTAATCTTTCCTTGATCCTTTTCAAAGTAAAAACTAGGATTATATGTTGATCAACAATTAATTTAAAATAATCAAAGGCATCTTTTTGATGATCAAAATTTACATTTATTTTGTTTAACATAAAAGTTTTATTTTTAATACTGTATTCATAACAACTATGCTGCTCCAAAAAGACAATAAATAATAACATGCTTAGAAACTACCTCTGTATATGATAGATCTTTGATTGAATCCACTGAACTAAGTATTGTAAAAATATAAAATTAATCATATATCTATCCTTTCTTAGTTAAAATTCTAAACATCTTTCAATGAACCCAATGGTGATTTACTTAAAGTTTTTATTTATTGTATTATAAAGATAACTTGACAATACAGTCCACATAAGATATTCTGTATTAATAATAGTCTAAAGCTTAGATTAAAAAATAGTAAAAAGAGATACCAGTATTGTCTTCAAACCCAAACAGTACTCTAAACCAAGAACCAATATCAGACATATTAACCACAAAATAATGTAACACAAGTCACAATCAGTATAAAAATTAAGTCAAGTAAGCATTATGTATGAACGTTTTGACACACACATTTAGAATTAACATTTAGGTACATAGTAACATGACAAAAAATATAATATTCAAATCTATTATAAAATTAAATACCTAATTAAGAGTACGCCACACTCTCATGTATTGCTCCGTCTTACAAATTTACAACATAGAAAAAACTGTTTCACTATGTCAAGAACAATTCAGGCTGAAGTCCAAGTTAAGCAACTAAATGTTCACACAAAAAAGGAGGAAAGCATTTAGTATGCTATTCGATATCACAAATACGAAAAAAGTTCTAATGGTTTAAAAGTTTATAATTTTTGAGTTTTTCCAACTTGAATAACTTATTTTTTAGTTTTGATATCGGAAAAATATAAGCTTCGTTCCACAGTAAACTCATCGCCAAAATTCATTGTACTCATCAATACGCTCAGTTGCAGAGATACCGGCTGTTGATAACATCAACCACCTATTGTGTTGGCGTACTTACGTCTGCTTTGTATCCATGAGCTTAAAATAATTATTGATCTATAATTTAAATAGATACAAGTCACTTTGTTTGATATGTAATTAGGTACGAGAATTTTTTTATGATAACTTAAAATAGATATATTTCTTAGCATAGGTACCTACTTACAGGCCCGTACTCGCCACCTGTAAGAGGAGCGGGAAAACATATTCTTAGAGCACATACCTACTATATTTTTATAGGTCCACTTTAAAGGAAAAATGGGTGTTGATTGAATTATTTGCAACCTACCACCTGCAGATATTAAACATACGTATATTGGATATAGATCATGATTTATTCTCCGATTTTTAACAAAATACCAATCGTAATATTATCTTTTATAGTAAAACCACGGTATTTACATTATTTATTTTCTCACATTAAACAATAAAGGATTGATTCCTTACTTTGTATTTTTTTTACTTATAATGTGTAGATTGTAGGTACATACAAATTTTAAATTAACGTTAAAAGTCGATTAAGCATCAAAATCTTGTTTTTTTTATAATAGTACTTAGGCTATATTTATTTTGAAAAAACCATTTTGGTAAATTACTGTTGAAACTGAGTACAAAAAATATTCAGATTACCTACGTTATTACATTTTGATATAAGCTAACAAATTTCCTTTACAATATGTATATTAATATATATTATAATTTTATATTGATCAATTAAGTAAAACTGTGTACATTTAAATTCATTATATGTGTCATTTTTCAAAAATTCGAAATCCATCAATCCTTTTCATATGTTTTCAACATAATATATGCAAATTCTAAAAATAATAATTAAAATTAAAATAATACCTATGTCATTATAACACTTCAGACACAATTTTTATCATTTTAAGTGAAAATATTAAATGTTCTAAAAATGTGTCAACGTTTGAAAATATCAAATAATGTTTATATTTTATACAAACAGGTCTGTAAGTCGAGTGTATATTAATTAACTCCTTTTAAATTCTATATTTACTATTTAGACACAGAATATTGTAAAAAAAATTTATTGATATAAAAAAAAACAATAATTTTTCAGTTTTTAAAATCGAAATTTTGGCTCTTAAAATTGTCTTTCATACCACTTACGACAGCAATCGAGTCTAAAATGTTATAAATTATATATTATAATCTACTTATTAGTATCATAAGAGATTGAGATTAAATAACGTTTATAAATATATATTGAACTTCTGGTTTTTAGTTTAGATTACCTAATTCTAATGAAATACGATGAGGAAGTTCAGGAAGGTATTCATTCAATTTTTCATATATTTGGTAATAGTAAACGGCAAAAATAATATTTGATTAGAGTGCATTACAAACTACTCACTATGCGATTCAAACGTGCGAGTCAACGTTTTTAAAAACGTCGCGACCTTAAGACAATTATAAAATAAATCTGTAGTTTAAACGCGCAGTGTGAATACTGAATAATAACTTAGGATGACCTCTTAAATAATTAAAAAAAATAAATAGCTGGGCGTTCACTAGGTCTGGGAGCTCCTGCAGCTTTTCGAGGTCGGCGCCGCGTCGCGCCGCGCTGGCTTTTCGATCTAATGGAAGCCCAGCTTAAAGCTACAGGTAGTGAATCAGTATTCAGTAGGCAATTGTCGATGGTTCACCTAGGAGTGAGACAATAATATTTTTCCATTATGATAAAATGGTACTATCAAAACAAAATTACGAAGTACTTCATAGTTATATTTACATAGGATTATATATTTATATACTTTCCTTTATAGACTGGCGTCACATTGAAAACCCAAAATAAAACAATAATCAATGTAACATATCCACGCGACTTACATCGATTACGGTGTTCGGATTTCACATTTTCACAAGTTGCTTCTATGGCTCTATAGTTGTTAATAATATCATAAATGGATGAATGGTAGCAAAACAATTATTTACTCAAATGTACCTACCTAGTGCCTATGCATAATAATTACAAACCATTTAATTTGCATAATATAATACACGTATATTAAGAGAAAAAATACACCATTTCTTTGTTTAAGCAAAAGGATGGAGGAAGTATTTTTCTTATTAAAATATTAAATTCAAAGGAAAATATGAATTCAGAGTATTATATAGTATGTAAGTGTACTAAGTATATATGGTTAAAACTGTCTAAGGTGGAATCTCATCATGCGGTGACCATACATTCCGCCTCAAACAGTTTTACGACTTATTGAATAAAACTGAAAAATTCTGGTTTATTCAATTATTACATCATAGATTTTTTGATCTAAGTGCTACTATTTATATTATATAATAACATTTATGATTTTTATGTATTCCAATTTATGCATTTCGACTTATATCATAAAAGTATTCATACAGTCACACAGAAAAAAATAAGACCATGGAGTATGGACAGTTTATACTAGGTCAGTATGTCAGGTAGAAAATTTTTTTATACTTTCCACATAATTTG